CCCGGCCGGGGGTGGCCGCCGGCGCCCCGCAGGGGGTCTGCGGAATCCACCCCCTCCCAATGCGCTGCCATCCTTCGGCGTCTCTGGCGCTCAGCTCATGAACATTCCAGGTGACTTCGCGTAGGCAGCCCGGGCAGAGGTTTGAGTCACTGGGGGCAGGACCCAGCGCTGCCTGGGGGTCGGGGGGGACCAGATTCAGAAGGCCTGGGACATCTGCCCAGCTTCTAAGAGGACATGGCCTCCTCCTCCTCGACTGTTTCTAGAGGCCTAGGGTTCCTTTCTGGGACGTCCTGGGCTCAGGGGAGACTAGGCCTGCTTTTCTGCGCTCTTCCTCAACTCCGCGCTCCAGGGTGTGGCCAAACGGATGTGAAAATAGTCGGAGGAGAGGAATCCAAAGAAGGGGAGTGGCCCTGGCAGGTGAGCCTGAGGGTGCGCAACAAGCACGTCTGCGGAGGCTCGCTCATCGCCGATCAGTGGGTGCTGACCGCGGCTCACTGTATTGTCAGGTGAGCAGTGGAGAGGTGAGAGGCCCACGCCCAGTCTTGTGCTCAAACACCCCCTGAGCCCGGTTGTCCTGGCGAATTGGCAAAAGAGGAAGCCAAGCCACACCAGAAACCACACAGGATAACAATGGGAAGGGTCCCCCAGGAGTAGTGGTTGGCTGGGAATATGGGAGGAAAGTAGGGTGAGAAGTCAAGTCTGAGAGTGATCGAAGATGGGTCTTGGGGATAGGGTGGTTGGGGAGAGGCTAAGAAGTACCTGAACGCCAGGGAAAAGCACAAGGGGTGCAGCCCAGGGTCTCTGCGAGGAGTGTGCCCTCTCTTCCACAGCCGCTACACCTACACCGTCAAGATGGGAGATATATATTTCTCTAAAGAAACCATGACAACTGTGAAGGTGTCTGTCAAAAACATCATTGTCCACCCTGGGTACAGAAATCTCAACACTGTTCAACATGACATTGCCCTTCTCCATCTGCTCCACCCCGTGAATTTCACCTCGACCATCAAGCCTGTCTGCATCCCACAGGAGACCTTCCAGGTGGCAGCTGGGACCAGGTGCTGGGTGACTGGATGGGGCCGACAGGGAGAAGGCGGTGAGATTTGTCAGGCAGGAGGCAAACTTGGGGCAGTGCTGGGGGCAGGGGGCAGAGGGCAGCCGTATGCCCTGGAGTAGCCATGATGGCTAATGGGAAGCACACTCCCTGGCAGGGGGTAAGGGTCAGGTGAGGCGGGCAGTGTTTCAGCAGTCAGGACAATGGTTCCCTGTTTGACCGAGGTCTTGTTTCAACACGAATATTTGATGGCAGTCACTAGGAGAGACACTTTTTTGGGGGAACTGGAGCTGCTCAGCCAGGAGAAGGAACCCGTGTGAAGCCTCCTCCCATAGATCTGTGGGGACTGTGGGCAGCTGGCACAGTGGGCCATGCGTTGAGCTGCTAACTGTAAGATCAGCGGTTTGAAACCACCAGCCACCCTGCAGGAGAAAGATGAGGCGTTCTCTTCCTGTAAAGGGTTACAGTGTTGGAAATCCACAGGGCCAGTTTTCCTCTCCTGGTGGGTCGCTGTGATTTGGAATCAGCTTAATGGCAGTGAGTGCCTAAACTGGGAGTCGTCGGGTGGGGCAGATGGTTAAGGGCTGAAACGCTCACAGGTCAGATGCACTCATGCGCCTGAGGCCTAAGGCCTGGTGACCTAGAGACATAGTGTTGAAAATCCTGCGAAGCACAGTTCTGTTCTGCACACATGGGATCGCCAGGAGTCAGAAGTGACTCCACAGGAATAAATGGATTTTCCCCTTTGATTTGGGGTTTTTAGTTTCATGACTCCCTGGGCACAGAGCCAGGTGCTGTGGGGCATTGTCCAGTATGAGCTTCTGCTCAGGGGTGATGAGTGTCTGTCTGTCTGTCAGAGTTTCCCTTGTTGGAGGCGTTGGCTTTGCTGGCTATAGAACGTCTAGCCCATGGAGGTACACGCAGAGGCAAAGGGCCCCTATACACGAGGCTGTCAGGTGTGCTGCCCCGGGGAGACCTGGACTTGGTTGCTGGGAGCCATCCCTGCCTCAAGTCTATGATCCTGCTCTAGAAAGGAAAGCTGCTTTATGGATGCACGGGATCTTCTGTCACCATTGCCAATGGCTCTCTGAGTGACATTACCTTGCTTAGCAGACCTTCTCTGACCAGTTCTTATATTGATTTCGTTTCTTACCCCTTGTCCTCATGTTGGTTCCGGATGATGTGGGTGGGTGGGGGTTGGGCGTGTCTCAGTTTCCCTTGGTATCAAGTACAGACAATACCCATTGGTCTACTTTCTTCTAGGCGGATTCTGTGTGGTTGGGGCTTCCTGTCTACTTGTGTAGACCCACAAACTGCTGATTTTCTTTGTAGATAAGCCTTATTCAAAAATTCTCCACAAGGTCGACCAGTACATCATCCGCTATGAAAACTGTAATAACATCATGAAGCAGACTGTGTCCAGTTTTAAGGATGTCATACTGGAAGGCATGGTCTGTGGCTATAAGGCTGGTGGAAAAGATTCTTGTAAGGTCAGTTCATGGGTTCTATGTCTCCTCTGCAGTGTGCTGTTACCCACAGATGCCGTCCTTCTCAGGTGGCATTCCCTGGGTCCCTTGCCAGCTCCTCTGTTCACCCTCTAGTAAAGAAAATTCACAGGGGAGACCCAGCATGGCTTCCCTGACCTGGCCTCTTCTTTCAAAAGGGAGCAGCCCTCACAGCTTGCACACCCTGTTGGGGTGTGGGGACCTTGGGGGTGCATAGTATTAACAATAGGCGTTTCATTAATTGAACTTCTCTTGGGTGGCACTGATGCGTAAGTGTTGGACTGTTAACCATAAGGTCAGTTGTTCAAACCTACCCGCTGCTCCAAGGCAGAAAGGTGAGACTCTCCTGCTCCTGTAAACAATGTACAGCTTCAAAAACCCTGTATAGAGTCACTGTGAATCGGATTGGACTTGGTGGCACGGAGGATCTGCATGAGCACTTAGCCATATTATCTCAATTAGCCCCTATTAAAACCAAAGCCCTGCAATCCAGACATTACATCCAGTACACAGATGTGGAAGGTGAGGCCCAATGATGAAATCCCCTATGAATGTCTATACAGCTCCTGGACCCATGGTCTTTCCTCTGTACCAGCTGCCTTCCTGAGGAGAGGCAGTATTTGAGCCCATCCTAAAGCATGAGCATCTGCACCTTGTTGAAAGGAGAGAGCAGCGTAATAGGGAGAGGGGAAAGCAATGATGGTCAGGTCTGTAGGAATTTGTCATATGCAGGCTTCCGTCTGGAACAGAGGTGGGGACCGTTGGGTTGTATAAAGCCCCCAAGATCCCAGCTAACATTGCCTGTCTCATCAACGAGGAGTTCCAGCTATCACAGTAGGGGTGAATTTATTAAATGTTTGATCAAACGTAGCATGCTAAGTTTTAAGTTGATGATTTTTTGTGGCCTGTGAATGATACTATAAATATCCAAATGGCCCTTGGCAGAAGAGATTCCCTAGCCCTGACTTAGATCAATGAGGTAGCAAATGTGACCAGAGAACAGGATTGGAGTCAGAATATGTGTGTACTGGAATGCATACTAAGGTTTTCGACTCCGTCTAGTCAGGACTTGGGCGACGTGGTCAGATTTGCCTTTAACATAAGTGATTCCCTGAGCTGCGGGGGACTGGACTGGAGTCTCCCAGGCCAACTCTGAGTTGGACCTTGTTCATGGGATGGTAAAAGAGGAGTGTTTGAATTTGAATAATCAGTCCTTGGTGACTGACTGCATGTCGGGGTGGGGGTGAAGACATTGGGAGGACTCTTTCTTCCTGGGAGGGCTGCTGGCAGGGTATAGGGAACAAGTTTGGGAAAGACACATGGAATTCCAGTTGAGTTGTGTCTGAGTGGGGCCTAAATATGAATTAGAAGTGCTAGAGAGACTTCAGGATAGTTGTAGGGACTTGGGCCTACCACACAGAGGTGTAGTGACAATATTAAAAAACCACTGTGGTCTGGGAAATGTCCAGTCAAAATGGACAGAGACCTTAGGATTTGATCTGCCTAACCTTATCTTCTAAGTGCCTGGGTGGGAAGGCAGAAGAAGAGCTGGGAGAGTATAGAGATGCCCAGGGTCTTATACAAGGGGGCTTTAACCACTAGGAATTAGAGAGTGTCAATATTGTACCAGCTGTCGCTGTTGTCCTGGAACTAAGTGGTTTTATGTCCCATGCCTATGTACCTGAGTAGTATTTTCTAGCAGATAATTACGTTTCTCCTTAACTTTCCATTTCCCAGATCTCAAATTTATAGAAACTATGGTCTGGTGGGGACCAAGGGAGTGCCTGGGAAAGCCCCAGCTCTGATGTGGCCTATTTTATTTTTGAGATTTGTCTGGGTTGGTAACTGGATAACTGTGTGTGTGTGTGTGTGTGTGTGTGTGTATCTTTATATCAGGTAGTTTGATGCCACTGGTTCTCTGAAGGACTCCTTTAATATTTTCGTAAGGCTAGTCTAGTCTTTACCCGTCCCCTTAATTCATGTTTATCTGGGTGTGTTCTGGTTTCTCCATTGCATTTGAGAGACAGCTTTTGCTGGACATCTGATTTTGGTTGTAAGTTATTTACTTAAAGGGCTTTATATATGTCATATCATTGTGTTCTTGCCTGCTTGGTTTCTGTTGAGAAATCGGAGCTTACTCTTATTACCCTTTTGTATGTGCTATTTGATTTTCCCTGGACTACTCTCAGAGTTCTTCCTTTGAGCTTGGTTTTGCAATGTTTGATTACGACGTGCTGCTTATTTTCTTTTGGGGTTTATCCTATGTAGGGTTCCTTTAGCTTCATGATATCAGGGAAGTTTTCTGCCAACAAATCTTCCAAATTCTTTCTGAACTTTTGGGTTTCCTGTTCTGGAGTTCCAATCACATATATTCTTCCTCTTGACAGTGTTCCACATAACTCTTAGGCTTCCTTCATTGCTTTTCATTATCTTTACGAATTGTTTATCAAACATTGGTATCAAGACTGTTGTCCTCTGTTTCATCGATTCTGTCTTCTATCGATTCAATGCTACTTCTTTGTTCTTCTGTCGAGTTACTAATTTTGACATTTTATTGCTATTCTGGATTTCTGCTATCGTGTGGTTTCTAATGTCTATTGTGTCATTTTATTCTTGTATTGTTTTTCTAATTTCTAGAGTTTTGTCCTTGTTTTCCTTGATGGCTTTCAGGATCCTATGTATAAGTCTTTTGAATTCCTTGTCTTGTAGCTCTATTACCATTTCTTCCTCGAGAAGGTTTTTGTCCCTGTATTTTTGTCACTTGTTTGAGCCATCTTGTCTTGTTCCTTTATATGACCTGATACTGTCAGTTGTCTCTTAGGTATTATAGTATCACATAACTTATTGCATGTATGTTTGTTTTATTTTATTTTTTTTGTTTTGATATATCTGGGTGTGTGTGGTCAGGGGTGTGGGGCGGACAGTTGTGTTAGGGCAGATATGTTCCATTGGTCCCTAATGGGCCAGCACAGGTGCATCACCACTTGTCTTTATGTGGGTGGGGTAGCCACCCTAGTGTATCATGGGGTCCTTCAGATTGGTGCAAGCAGCTAGTGTGTCCACTGGAGTTCAGGGCAGGATGTCTCCATAGCAATCGAGGGTGTGCTTCCCAAATGGACGAGATCTGCCCTCTGTGTATGCATGGATTAATATTTCAGCTGCTGATGGGTGGTCAAAAACTTTCAGTGCAGGAGAAGTTGACCTGTTGGATGTGTCTTACAGCTGTGTGGGTGGACATTGGATGACATTGGGTATTGGTTGAAAGGTGATGTACCTGGTGGTTATGTTACCTGGCAGGAGTGCAGAGTGTGCCCTCTGTAGGTGCACTTTGTCAGTTTCCCGGGTGGTACTGAGCTCACTCCACCGAGAAGGAAGGAAGAAGGAATGGGGCTTTCCCCTTAGGTGGGATGGCTGCAATGAGAAAGTGATTGCCAGTAGCTGAGGGGTGCGCAGGGGAGTGGGGGAATGCGGGTGATACAGGAGCACACCTATTAGATGTCCTTTGTGGTGAGGCAGTATGCCTCTGATTAGCTAGTGGGCTGGGGGTGGGAGCTGCCACTTGGTTACCATGTGGGTATGGGAGTGTGTGTCGCTAGTTGGCAGTCGGTGAAGATGGGTACTGAGGCCTACCAGCGGGCTAAGTGGAGGTGGTGGTGGGGGAGTGGGACATGTGCTGCTGATTGCCCAGGCAGTGGGCACACCTGATTTGATGTGTCTCCTCTTCCATTCCTAAGATTTGTTTCTTTCTCTTTTTCCAGGGAGATTCCGGGGGACCCATGGTCTGTGAATATAACCAGACCTGGGTGCAGGTGGGGATTGTGAGCTGGGGCATCGGCTGTGGCCGTCTTGGAACTCCTGGAATTTATACGGAAGTTAGCTTCTACAGGAACTGGATGGTGGCAGTGTTGAACCAGTCTACCTCACAGTATCCAGTGTTGACCAACATCTTAGTTCTATTTGTGGTATTGCCCCAGGCATCCTGGTGACCCTTTGACCATACTTTCTCTCCTGTTTTATAGTCTTGTACTTCACATCTCTTCTGGGCTCCCATTCCTTCTTAATACCGTGGCTTCAAATTCAAGTTGGGATCCATGAACCCTGTCTTGACTAGGAGATTCACCCAGTCAAGGGTGCCATAGAGGCTGGAACCCAGAAGGTGCACTGGTACACTGGACACCTGTGTAAGCTTTGATTGTGCCCCTGAGCCCTTCACTAATGTTCTGCCCACTGGGAAGAGGAGGGGTGACCAGTGAGGTAGCGCATGGTGGTTCTTTGATCTTTTGGAGAACATCAACCAGACAGGGGAAGTTTGATTTGACACCATCAGCAATGAAGCCAGCATTAGATCCTGGTTCTGGTTTCATAGCTCTCCCCTAAAATGTGTTCAAACCAGTCAGTTTGGAATTGTCTAATTGTCTCTCTCAAGAGAGAGTGATGGAGGCTTGATGGGCACCAGGACTGGGATACCCAAATCTTTTGCCAAATCAGCTCTCTGGAGGCAACCCAATCTTGGAAGCCCTTCCTCAACTCCCTAGTAGCCACATCTCAAGTTGTGTTGAAGTATATGGAGTGTGGCGATTTACAATGATCTATTGAATAAATATTTGCAGAAAACAAGTGACTCTCCATCTCTACTGGTGTGGGTCATGGGGACTGTGTTAGCTTGGGTTGACTAGAGAAACAAATCCAGGGAGACTCATGTGTGTGTCAGAAAGAACTTTATATCAAAGAGCAAGTGTACATTAAGAAAACATGCCAGGCAGTCCAGATCAAGTCCATAAATCCGATTTTGCCCCATATGTGGATACTAGTCCATAAATTCCTCTTTAGACTCACACAGCCATGCAATGATGTCGAATGCAGGACGATCATAGGCCATAGGCCAATGGGTGGAAGGTCTTGTGGATCCAGTGGTGGTGGAAGCATCCTAGCACTGGAGTGGTCACCATGTGGCTCCTCCCGCTCCAGGGCTCTGGCTCTATCAGTGTAGCTCTATGTGGCTTGTCAACAGGAATGTCTTGCAGAGAGTGTGGATGTGGCCTCCAGTGAGCTATTTATCTCCATAGCACCTCCAAATGTCATCAAGCTTTGACCTGATTGACAGGCTAAACTCCACCCCTTCACTCTTAATAGTCTCAAGTTGACACCAGATTATGTAACTACCACAGGGACAATGAAGAGAAGTTATTTCACATTTAGTTAGGAAGATGTTCATAATTCTCTTTAAACTCCAGAGAGAGAGAGAGCAAAGGCCCTACATACCCTGATTGAGCTGGAGATGGTTTTAATCAATCACATCCTGCTGCCTGTGCTCTTGCTAACAGCCACCAGCTGGGAGTGCTGTAGTTGAGTTTGCCAGTGTTGACAGCTGGGAAGAAGGTAACAAGAGGGACAGAAGACACAAACTCAGTACATTGCATCTCAAACTGCAATCCTCACTTCCTGTCTGTTGCTGCACCTCCCCATACAGGTATATAAAGCCTTTGGTCAAGCTCTACTGGGAACACAGGATGGGTTGTTTACCTGTGTCTGCACTGGCTCATTTCCCTTATCACACTGTGTTCTCAGAGTGTCTCTCATGATGCTCCAATTTTTCTTTATACTGTTTATGCAAAGGTTGCCTCCTTTTGAGGTGGATGGGTGCTGGTTTAGTGCATTTTGCATATGAGAAGAAGGTGCATGTGCTTTAGATGAATAAGGTGCATTAGATGAATAAAAGTGGAGTGAAGTAGAGATTGATAATTGCCTTCTTGGTATGTTTTCCTTCATTCTGGGTGTAAAGTTGCTCAGAATAAAGACAACATTAAGCATAAATAGTGGGGTATGAATTTTGAGAAAGCCCCTTACATAGAGAACAAGTTTTTTTTCCCTCTGCTGCCTGAAATTTACATATGTTAGGTGTCGGTATGAGTTGGCATCAGCTCCACGGCAGTGAGTGAGGGTTTTTTGGGGGTGGGGTGGGGTGTTAATTGGCACTTGAGCAGCTATATTGGGATATTGGGAACATGCTAGAGACAAGGAGTAGCAATTTAGAAAGACTTTGTCTCTCTGGAATTTGTAGGACTGCTATCCCAGCCTTTTATGCAAAATCAAGCCACTGTCATGTTGGGTCTCCGTTGCACCAACAAAACCCTCACGCTAACTGATCCAATTGGTGTAATTTGGAGCTTTTTTCCTTGGTATAGGAATGGGTTTTTAAAGTGATTTCATATTTACACTAAAATTTGTTTCTCTACATTTTAGTTTTCCTTTATTAAACAAAATCTGATAATATTAAAGAGAATATTGTGAATTGTTGTATTAGCTCTTAATACATTTTTTGTATTGTTATTTTCTTAATTGAAGTATAAGTCCCATACAAAAAATGCATGAATTATAGTTTAAAATTTTTGACAAACGTATAACTTTTTTTTTAAACATCACCAA